ATATTACTAAGATTTTACACTGAATTAATCAGCTGAGAGGGATGGGCTTAATACTGATTCTAAATGCATTACTAATGTATTTATTGCTGATAAATTTAGTAATGATTACTAATGTGTTTATTTTAATGTATTAATACAGTAATCCAAAAAAATATCATATTACTGTGTAACTTTTCTTTTTTAAATGCATTTCTGCTTCTTCATTTCTTTTCAGGGTCCAAAAGGAGATCCTGGCACAGTGGTATGTATGTATTTTTTGGTGATAGAGAATTCCCCAAGTAGTTCAACACATGATCCTAGTCACAAGGGTGGCAGAGTCCATTAATATTCTTTAGCAGTAGCTTGCCTCCTGCAGAATCAGTACATATAAAAAAGCATTTTTAATTGCCAGGCTTGCAAATTTTGCAATTTCTGGTAAACAGTTTTAAGTGATATAATGAATGATTGCACATAGTATTAACTGCTTGTGGATTCATCTCTCCTGAGCTGTCCCTGTATATATTTAAGGATAGAGAATGTGTACGGCAAGGGATAAAGCCCTCACTTGTAACAGGCTTATAAGAAATAAAGGTAGAAAATACCTTAAGAGCTATGAGATTGTTCTCAACAACAAATTTGAAACTGATCAAGGAAAGAGGACAATATGCTACATCATGCCAGATAGTAGCAACTACAAGTTGGTATTTTCATTGGAAACGGCATGATGGGTAGTTACAGTATGATCTCATTGCTTCTAGTGAGCAAGACGATGATCACGGGAGGCACTTACACCATTCAACTATTCAGTTTGACATTCAAAAGCAGATCTTTTTAACTTTTTGATATTTTTGCCTTTAAGCATCGTGTTATGTCCTTTTCACATGATCTTTCTTTCAAAATTATGGGAAGAGAAAGGACAACTAGTGGAAGAATCTTGAGCTGTCGCATAGGCTAGCATAGGACTAGCCCCTAGCAGAATGTAGATACAAATCCTGCCTGGGAATACTTTTTTCCCAATATGATGTATCTTGCCTTTATAAGAGAGAAACTGTATTCGTCATTAGCTTGCAATTTGTCGCTACAGTTCCTAGCCTTGAAGGTGGCAAAGTTGAAACTTACAGGTATTGCATCTTGATGACTGGATCTCAGTGAAAATACCCAAAAGATAATAGTAAAATTTGAGTACTGGTCGTTTGGGCCTAAAAGTATGATAGTATCAATTGTCATTTCAAAATGATATTGTTTTAAAAATTGGTAGGTGCTTTCACAGCAATTAAAATTTCACTGCATTTTTGTACTTCTTTTTCAAGTCTAAGGAACATCACATAACTGCATAATGATAGTTGTAGCAGTATAACACTGCAAGACAGCAAATCAGATACTGCTTCTTCGTGGTTAGTGTGGTAGAACTGTGTCCAGCAGACCTCTTTCGAACTTCAGACAGTATGACTGAATCAAGATGAGTACCGTGTGTCAGCTAATGAAAATTGATGAGGAGAATTTGCTGATAAAAGCAGTAGAAGCTGAGCTAGTTAGAGAAGAAAATTGTGCCCAGTTGGACTGCGCTCCCCATGATCTGCTGGTGATTTGTCTACTTGATAAAGATCAGGAGACTCTGAAAAATATTGAAGAGATCATTTTTGAAGCAAAATAACATCCCTTCCAGCACGCAAAGTAAAGAACAGCTATGCCTCCTACTAATGAAACAAATTACCACTTCAGAGAAGCACAGTTCCTTGACACATTCAGTGGTTCATTCAACCACTAAGAAGCTGACACATAACCTCTTCAGCCGCTGTCCTGTCTTTGAGTTGTTAGTCTTTGGCAGAATAAATAAGGAGATGGTTTGGCCAACATCTCGAATGCCTGGTTGTAAAGAACCAGGTCAGAGCACAACACAGACTATTTAAATGTCACTAGAGACTGGCCTTGTCTGAATACATCAGGCCACAGTGTTTAGAAGGTGATGATGAATGTCTTCTGTTGAAAGGTTCTTGTCTTCTGACTTGGTCCATATCATGGAGTCTTACTCTTCAGTATCAGTGTGAGACTACTGAGAAATGTCTCTACTCATAAAAGCAGCATGCAAGTTCCATTTAGTTGTATCTTTTTTTTCTACCAGTGCAGGCACAGTATCTACACAAAACTAGCAGCAGAATTAAGTGCAGCTAGCTGAGAATAACCCAGCCAAGACCAAAGTGGTTTCATAGAACCATTGAATAGTTTGGGTTTGAAGGAACCTTTAAAAGTCACCTAGTCCAGCCTCCCTGCTATAAGCAGGGACATCTTCAACTAGATCAGGTTGCTCAGAGCCCCGTCCAACCTTGAATGTTTCCAGGGATGGGGCATCTACCACCTCTCTGGGGAACCTGTTACAGTGTTTCACCACCCTCATCATAAAAAATTTCTTCCTTATATATACTATGAGGACTGGGATAGGATTTCATCTATCATGAAGATGCATAATCTCCACGCAACCAACTTGTGCAGGGCCCAGGATGATGTTTGATTCGTTGCCAAGTGTTAAAGGAGAGCCAGCTACATGAAAAGCTAAACTTTGATTTATGAACCTGTGTTCATCAAGGACAATAAGAAACCCAAAATAGAACCCCTTAGCACTTAGCAAAACATGCAGTTGTGAGATAGTTTCCTAAAACAGTTGATTAATATATTTTCAAAAAAAAAAGTCACAAAGCCTCTTTTTTATTTTTTTGAGGGGAGGAGGGTAGTCTCTTCACCATAATGTCCAGGAGCTGACTATGTCTTTCTGTACCAGCATCCACTTTCTACTCAGGAAGCACCATCTCCCAAACAGAGTTTAGATGTGGAAAGTGGGATCTGCCAGAGACATAAAATCCAGAGGGCATACTGTAGTTCAAATCTCTGTAGTAAATTATCTGTTGATTTTCTTTAAAATAACAAAAAGAATTGAAAGGGTCTCCCCACTCTACATGTTGAACTGATTTCTCCAGTGGAGCAGTGTTTTCTGATTTTTTTCCAAAACTCAAAGACCTACGCAGGGACCTAGTCAGTGTGTCCCTTGCTGCAGAGCAAGCTTTGTTAGGGAACAGAGCTCTCTTTTGAAACAGTGGCGCGTCAGAATTGTTGCACAGAATTGCTCGGAGGTTGGTTCTCTGGTTGACAGTGTATGCTCATATTCCGGGGCTCCAACGCCTGCAGTTGCTTTAGAGCTGACCTTGGCTTGCAGGAACACTTCATAGAAGTCTTCTAGATTGCAGTCTTCGTCAAAATTAAAGCTGTTAATCCAAATATTCATGCAGTGCCTCTGGGAAAAACTTAATTTGCAGATCGTTAAAACGGAGCATACAAAATCTGTTCACCTAGTTAGCTGTTTTACTAATCTCAAATTAAATCATCTGCTGTTGCTTACTGTTAAATGTTTCTCATGTAGAGTACAGAAATTCTAATCTATGCAATCCTTTTTAATTAAAAAAAAAAAACACACCAAAACAGGGAGACCCAGGACCAATGGGATTACCAGGACTGGAAGGACTCCCAGGGGAAAAGGTAGGCTCTTAAAAAGAAGTCACAGCTTCTTATTGGCAACTATCTGCAGTTAAATGTTTTCTGAAACCGTGTTTGATTTTTTTTGTGAAAGTTAATGTTTCTGTATTTGCATATTTATCTGTGTTTCCTTTTTTTGCTTTACTATGGATCTGAAGCGCATACTCATCCAGCATAAAATTTCATTTTCCGCAAATGGAAAATTGAATGTCGGAGGTCTCATAGTATTTCATTTTCTTAAGTTGATGTAATACTGCTATATAGTATATTATGTATAGTATATACTATATATATTACTTGATAGTGACATAATTACATGTTTCTAAGTATGGCCACTAGTTCTTGCTCTCTATTGAACACCGTCTTATGCCTCACAGTCTCTCTGTCTCGTTCTAGGATTTAGGGCATAGCTACAGATCCGAAAAGAAGTTTGTACCTGAACTAGTCTAGACCTAGTGCATGCCAGACTCTCTTACAAAAAAAAGACTATTTCAGATGAGTGTAAAAACACAGGAAAGGGTAGAAATAGAGGGAGAGACTGATTTCCTGCAGTTCCTGTTGTATTACAGCCTGCTCCATCTGAGGGCCAAGACGAAAAGCTCACTGCTTGGACTGTTGCTCTTTATTCAAGTCCCCTTGTTCTGTTGTGCTTTTTTTGCACTCCATGCTGCCTGTATGATGGCACATCCTGAGCTGTAGTTCAAATCTGCCTTCCAGTGCTAGGAAATGATCCTTTCCCTCAGCTGATCCTGCATGTTTCAACCTTTCTCTTCCTAGTTGTGGAAGCTGAAATGAATTTAGAAAAAAGATTGTAATGAAATGCTAAAAATTTCGAGATTTTGGTATTCATTTCTAAATATGGCAAAGCACAAAAAATTGAGCAGGGAAATTAAAAAAATCTGAAAATTTACTGTCAGTGGAAATGCTTTCATTTTGCCCATATCTTTTAAATTTAAGGAGAAAAAATATTTTTTTGCAAAATTGAATATTTATTCAGCTTTTTTGAATTACATGTTATTCAATTAGTTTAGGCAAAAAATAGTTTACTGACATTTATTTTTCATCAAAAAGCAATGTAAATGAAAAGGTTCTATGTATCACTATGCATTACTCCTACTTGTGCAGAGAGTGGGGAGTGACATGATCTAAGGTAAGTCTCTACACTAGATGTTTAAATTACATGATTCTTACTCTGGTAGACTACAATTTAAAAGCAGTTAAGGACTAGCCTGATTTCAAAATGAACAAACACGGGGAGATATTACAGGTCTAACAGACAAAGTGGGGACAAGAATTAAATAAAGGGAATAAGCAATGGAGCAGATTGTATAAACAAGCTGAGTGCTTAGCCCTTTCCCAAATAAAAATACCCTTTTCTTAATGAAATTTGGACAAAAATTCCACCCTTCTGGTTGCAAATAAATGAACAGAATCCCAGAGTCTGCCTGCCATTCCCAAAATTATAGTGCATGCTGGGTTTTAATTTAAAGCTATTGGGTACATCCATGTAGCAGAACGCCGTCTTCCACGGACAATGTTACCTGTAGTTTCATGGTGATTTCATGAACTAGCTTAAGAACTTTGTGTCCTCGGGGTAAAATACACCTTCCCTCAGCTGTGCTGACATAGTGGTTTGTGCAGCCATGCTGCGAATCACATGGATAAAAGGACCAGGATAATCCTCAAAATAAAAAAAAAAGCTTCAAGGGAAGTATTGGGAATTTCTAGCTTCACTGTCGTAGCTGGTGTATGAGGAGAACACCATGCTACAAGTTCTGGGTGCAGAATAACGATAGGGACAGAGTGCAGCGCTCCAGCCAATATGCCCCGCTGCAGATCCTCGGTGCTCGAGTGTTCCCAAGGAGCACTTTGTGTTCCTCGCTGAGGGGTGAACTTGCAATTAGTGGCTTCTCTTAGCCTTCAGAGAAAGAGAGGTTGAACTGCTGGGGCCTGTAAGCAAGCTTCGCCCTCCAGACACAAGGTCAGACCTTTGATTTGTCACCTGTCTGCACTTTGGGTAATGGAGTTAAGTGTTTCTAGTTATTGGCATTATCGTTGCCCTACCTGAACAAAATTATGAGAATGAGACAAATCAGCATTAGCTATAAGAACAGAAGCCAGAAATCCCAACATCTCCTGAGGCTCTTCAGCACAACAGAACATGGCTGTAGCTATGCTGGTAGAGTTTTTGCGAAACAGCCCCAGGTAACATAAACTCGTCTCACAAAGATACTCACCTGTTAGCATGAGTTTAACTGTGTCAGGGCTTTCCTGACATGATTATAGAAACTAGGAACTTGATTTTTTTTTCCTACGTTTTTAGCCAACATTACACTAGGAGACTCTAGTGTTACAGACTGATACATGTCAGCAGTGGGTTAGGGCAAATCTCCCTATAAAGGGAGAAACTTTACCCTGAAAAGACCATGGCATAGGCAAATCGAGCATGCTGACTTACAGCAAATGGATGACTGGGTAGCAGGAAGGCAAAAACTTCTTCGAAAGGGACATCTTAAACATGGGGATGTTGGTATGATAGTGAATTACCCTATGTGAATTTCGGTCATTATCATGACCACAAATGATAATTATTTGGAAAACTACAGATAAGTCTGGGACTTTCCATCCCTTTTTCAAGGAAGGCCTCAAACAGATTACAAAGGATAGAGTGGAAATTATGACATTATACAAGAGAACCTAAACAAAGGATTTAAGTTACTTGTCAAGTCTGTAAAATGAGTCAATGCCAGAGCTAAATATTAGCATTTAGCAGAGCCTGGCTTTTGTCCTTATTTTCAGTTCACTGAATAATCCTTCCTCAGGTTTTATTGGGAATCCATAAAAGAACTTCTGGTTTGAGTGTTACCATTTAAGTATAGATTTATCTTTTCTTCAGGGTGACCGTGGACCAGCTGGCACACCAGGAGTAGCAGGGACACCGGTAGGTATATTCGTTAAAGAAAACTCAGTTTGTTAGAAGCTGAAAAAACAGGTCAAGCAAGGTGCTGAGCTGTAATGTCGATCACTGTTTGTGGAATGCCAGCGCTTGGCTAGTGCTTCATAGGCAGGTATGAAAATGATGTGTTTTTCCTAAAGAGATTAGAGTTTTAATACCACCGAGGGCTCTTATTATTATTAAAATGACAGGAAGGAATGGTGTGAATACATGATAAAGCTGGAATTTGAAGCTGCATATGCTTAGTTAAGAAAGCATATGAGATACTTGTCATTGCTTCAGTTTAATATAGATAAATACATTTTTTGTGTTCCTGGGCATGCACAAATTTCTGAGCATCTTTCTATCACAAAGAAAAATTGTGAACGTTAGTTATTGCAATCCACGAGGATCTGCATATCGAGTCAATCAAACATTTGCTTTAGGGGAATGCTTTGTCAGCTATTCGCATGTGGTGTTCAGAGACATTTCTGAAAGTCATCCAGAAACTTTGTTGTAGGTGAAAGTAAATGTAACTAATGATAAATTGAAATTATAATTATTCATTTGTGTTCGTAAAGGAAATGAAGACAACTTTTCTTTAGATTGCATTCACAGTTTAATGAAAAAGTTTATCCATATTTCAGGAGGCAATATGGAGTTATTTATATGCAAATACATTTATTATTAAATTTGGGCAGCTACCAATCCATTCAGGAGATGTTTTTAAATTATAAATATGCGTTTCATGAAATAAAGAGGAGTCTGTGTCTATGCACTCCCATTTCCATTAACCACTGATTTAGTCTCTTTACTGTGAGTTCCGAGAGAGTACATCAGCTTAAATAGCTTAATTTAGTTATGTTCTCCTAAAACAAGGTAAAATTGCACATTTAAGGGAAAAAGAGAAGTATTTCTCTGAGTTTTATAGCCCATGTAAGAGTTTCAAAGTTTGTTGCTCTGAAATATATTTCACACTGTGAATCAGTAACACAGTAGCCAGTTAGGATGATCACAACTGTTCGTTCCCTGTGTGTTTCCCACCGGATATGTTCCAGATCTTACTGTTGCTCTCTATTCTAGCTGGATATGAATTATTTAATGAGTTCCCTTCTTCACTGATGGTGTTGCGTTCTGTTGGTTACATTTAATCTTAACAAAATCCACTGAAATAAATTTGTTGCTGTAACATTTTATGCTAAGCAGTTTTAATCAACAAATTAATAGACTTATGAGAGACAATATTTTTTAGTAGTCTAGGAACAGTTTTTAAATAGATTCACGTATCTTGCTGGAAGAGAGTTTGTCCTCCTTGGCTGGCATTATACCCTAGATTGAATAGTGAACCTTTTTTCTCATTTGGGGATATAAACATCTCATTTTAGCTTTGGCTTTTTGCTGAGTGGGATTGTCAGGGAAGTTTGGACTGAGATTCTGCAAGAATTGCCATCAGTGCCTATTTCCTCACCGCAAATCCTCAGTCCTGTTGGTCTTGAAATTGTCGCTGGCAATGATGTGTTAGATTCCTGGCTTGTACAAGTCAACTGAGGATCTGGTCTAAGGATATTTCCAAGGAATATAGGTTCAGGATTATAGATTCTTGTCTGGGACTGAACCAATTAGGTTGTTAAAAGCAAGACATCCATTAAAAAAAAAAAAACTAAAGACATTTAAAATCACCATCTAAATGATGAGATGAGAAAAGATTGTGAATTCTAGCAGGCTGAACGTAAAATGACAATAAAAGTGGCTGAAAAAGAGCATGAAAAAAAATTGCAAAAGTTGAGTCACTAATAAACCCACTTTAAAAAAAATCAGGACTAGGAAGTACCTGACGGGAAAAAAAGAAATCTTGACTTTGTGTGTACAGTGATATACTGTGATCTGACTAGAAGTGCTCAAGAAGGAAATCATGATGTTGTAAAAGAAAGTTCCATGAAAACATTATCTCAATATTCAGAAAGGGTAAAGAAGACCAAATGATTGAGTTATGTTGTACAGAAGAGCCAGATTAACATGGCACAAATATTAAAAAAATCTGGTAACATATTTCTTTTTCTCTCTTAAAGTGTTCATTGAGCAGTGACATGAATATTTCACTCAAATTTATATGCTCTCTTATTTTTGACCTAATAGAAATTGATGTTTTTCTTCCTAGTAATTTGAATTTGTAATGTTCTCTTTTTGCAGGGGAAGCCAGGATCTCCCGGTTCCCCAGGGATGCCAGGGGAACCTGTAAGTACAGGTTTGGGTTCTGAACTCTTACAATAATACACAAATATTTCAAATACTGAATGCAAGATTTTACATGCAGATTTATATGTGTGTTTTCTTCTTTCTTAGGGTGAAAGAGGACCTATAGGAGATATAGGCTTCCCCGGGCCAGAAGGGCCACAAGGAAAACCAGTAAGCAATTTTATACTGAATATATATATTTTCGTTACAAAGGGGTGCGTCTTAGTTTATCAGAAGTTACAAAAGAAATGAGATTACATCCTGCTTTGCTTTAGGATAGGTAGCATCTGAAAAACACCTAGAGCTGCAATGCTCAATGTTAACCATCCAGTCAAGAATTCCTGGTATTGTGATGTTTTAGTAGTTAATGTTACTGAGATGTTACCTTTAAAGGTCTATGAGGGTCCTTTGGATCCTGTTAACATAAAGGATCCTCTCATATTTTCCGGAAGGAGAATGTTAACCTCGACACTCAACACAGTCTATAAAGGATGGGGTGACAAAATTCTTTCTTGGTTTTAGTTTAAATAGAGAAGCTTGTGCTTCGTGACTGAATAAACTTATAACTCTTCTGTATACAGGTGATGCAACACTGCAGCTGAAGCATTTACTGATCACTCAGGATATGTCTGATCTGACCTCTTTATTTAATAAAAGCGTGACAGCAGCGTAGTCAGCACTGTCTGAGCTGGTTTCAAATGACCTAGTTTATGTTTCAGAAGTGGTTTAGCTAGGGTAGCACAGAACTCATTATCTACCCCTAGGCTTGGTGTTTTGGGGACAGCAGACCATTTCAGTTTGTCAGCACACCTGCACATTACGCTTCTGTCTTGAAAGAAGAGACAATTTCTATAACTTCAGCGGCAAATTGGCCCAAGGTGCCTAATCTCTGCGAAACCTCACTCTGCAGTGTGAAAGGGAAGGAAATATTCCTGCTGTCTTTGCTCGTGCAAGTCCTTCTTTCCCACTCAGCGAAATAGCAGTGAGTTTGCTGCATGTGCAGGTTCACGTATCTCCTAGTCAGCTGAACAGTGCCAGAGCATTTATCTTGCACGTACCTGGTGTTGTGCGATTGCTAATGTACTCTCTGACGTTATTTTGGCCCATGCTGACTAGCACTCTCGAGACAATGCCGTGTTTGTTTGAGGGATAACGTGGGCCTGGGACTGTTTCCAGTAGGTGGCATGAATGAGACCAGTCTCTTTTGGGAAGGAAAAATGTTTAGCCCAGAAGGCTGAAGCCATGCTGTGCCACAGGTCCTAAGGACCAAGGAATGGATCTGGCCATTCACTATTAGGGTGTAATCTCTGTAATAGCAGTGGGCTAATAGGGCATAAGGACTAATATCTAGAATAAGAGAAATCTCCTCTCTGGCTGTATAATGACTAGCTGGGACTGGAAAAGTGCGTGTACCGGTCCATATTCCACCTGTTTGAATTCCCGTTTAAAGTTACGTGCTCGTTAAAGTTGATGCACATCTTGATGCCACAGACATTTTTCAATTATTAATATTTTTGTACTGCTCTCAGCTCAGATGTAATGTGCTTGCAGTTCAGTATGGCCCCAAGTTCCGTTTCACATGCTTCAAAACTATTTGCAAATATTTCAGTATCTTAACCACACAAACTGCTGCCTCCGCAGCTTCAGAATATGTACTGATACCAGCACTTAACTTTGAGCTTTACTCTTTATATTTTTAAAATGCTTATACATAACCATAATTATTTAAAAGATGTTTGTTTTTCTTGTAGGGAATCAATGGAAAAGATGGATTGCCAGGTCCTCCGGTAAGAACACATACTTTTGCATACTAGTGTGTTTTATTCTTCACAGATACCATAGCTCAGTTGCTTTGAATTCTGCTAAGAGATGGATTTACTCAAAACTTTTAAGTGATATGTTTATCATTTTTCAAAAACGATTTTTCAGGGTGCTGTGGGGAGACCAGGAGACAGAGGGCCCAAAGGAGAACGTGTAAGTCCCTTGTTTTAGTAACTTTTTTCCTTTTACTGAGCATCTAAGCAGCTCATTCGCACGTATTTTGCAGGCAAAAACCAATAAATTAATTTTCTGTGAACTTCAAGCAATCTCTTAGACAACTAAGATGTTTAGTCCTAGACACCACTATAAGGAGTTAGAATTGAATTGACTTCTGCGTTTAGAGGAAAAACACATTTTATAGACTTTCTAACACAGTTGTCCTGGACAGTGTAAATTGATCAATAGGATGAAAATTAGAAAGTATCTGATCTCATTGTGATGCTGTCAGACTTTGCAAGAGCTATAAAGCTTTTCCTGTCATCATCCCTGGGAGCTTTGTAGGTCACAATATGTAAAACAAGCTTGTTACGCTTATGCAGGAGGAATACCAATACAACACCTTGCTGCTTACCAAAATGTTTAGAGAGTTCTCTTCATGGTAATAAGATCATGGTGGACAGGAATCATTAGGGGAGGTGAGAGGTGATCTTTATTTTGCTAGAGCAAAGAAAATCCTAGCACATACTCTGCTTCTGTTATAACTTTATTAAAGCCCTGATATTCTAAGACAATTGATACCACATTTATTTGATGAATCAGAAAAGCACCTCCCTGTGTAATCTGGAAAAGGAAATGCTGCTTTATGACACTGAGGAGACACGAGGTTTTCACCATTATTATAATAATTGTCCCTCACAGGAATTGGCAGTTTGCAGTGTTCTGTTCCTGCCTTTAAGGGCACAAATAAAATATAAGAACCTTCTTATTGTACCACCTACTGTGTACAGTTATTACATTATTATTACTAGTAGTAGGAGTAGTACAGTTATATTGTACAGCAATTACATTGCTCAGCCTTGACCTTCTCAGTGACAACCTGTTTGAATACCCTGCAAATAGTACTGTGCACATACAACCAGAGGAAGAGGCTTGACCTGTAAGTGCATGGCCTTGAAACACACTGACCCCACCTAAAGCTACATCCTTGAAAGAGCTTACCAGCTGTTTGCAACTGGCCAGACTATGCAGCAGAGATCACAGATGCCTGAATCTGCTCTCACTTCTGGAATCACTGGCAAACATGTCACGATCTAGTTCTCTCTGTACAGAGTAAAAAAAAAAAAATATATATATATGTGTGTGTATGTAAAAGAAATATATCTATACATGTTGAAAAAAATAAATCCATTTCCAGAAGTATTTTTGTCTCAAGTGATAATCAAAATCTCTCTCAACCTTTTATGGCAGGAAGATTTTAAGGATGCCTAATGCAGTGTCTGAATTCAGTTTCAGAAAGCTGTCAGTTGTTCTTACTATTCTGCAAGAAAATAAAACATTTGTTGATAACAAGGGGAGATCTGCCTAAGAAATAACAGTGAAATACACAGCAGAAGTCTGCATCTCAGATACGAGATTAGTGGGAGAGTTGGAGTTGATTTTTATTTTTTTTTCCTTCGGATCAGGTTTAACAGCCCTGCGTCTGTGAGAGAGATTGCAATGATTACAGAAAATAAGACAAAGTCAACCTTTTCTTGCAGCCATTATTATTTCTACTGTACAGTGTATTCCTTCAGTTTGAGACCAGCTGTTGTAATTATAGAAAAGAGAAGCCTCAAAATTGGAAGGACAGAAGAAAACTCTTGAGTTTTTCATTTCTAATACTAGTATATCCTTTAGAATCTGTTCTAAGAAGGAAGAAGTCACCTGGGCTGAAATAATCTTCTACATCCTTTGAGTGACTAAGCACTACTATTACTACTACTTTATAAACTGAGTGACAAACCAGTTGCAAATATGTGGTTTATACCAATCAGAAATATGCCTTTCAAGTCATTTCTACAACAGATGAAAGTACTGGTGGCTGGCTCATTAATTGTTGTTATCTGCCTACCTCGATCACAGACCAGGAGCCAGCTGGACTAGAGCATGTAGAAACCCAGGCAAAACAATAGTTCATTCTGCACAGAATTTAGTACAGGATTAAATGCAAGAGATGGGAGAACACTAGAAAGGAGGAGGACTGAATAAATCAGCACTGTAGGCAGAGATTGCAAAACGCCAGTGTCCTGCCCTGGTTTTTGTACAATTCACAGTGAAGGAGAGTTTAAAAAGGAATCTGGAAGAAGATGTGACCTAGTTTTATGAATTTTTGCGAGATACTTCTTCCAAACACAAAGAAAACACTGGAAGCAGTTAAAAAAATGCTTGTTTGAAAAGTGACTGTAGTATTTGATCTGCCTCCTACACATTGGCAGCCTGTAAAATGGGGATTGTTTAGAAGAAAAGCAATTCCAGGATCAGCTTCACACTGCCGAAGCACCGTGGTTTTAGAGAAACCTGCCTTTTTCTTTATTTCTAGTATAGTAGCTATCCATACGTATTCTGCAGGGTTATAAACCTGAGAAATTATATATGTATATTTATGCTTTAAATACATTTTTAATGAAGGCCTCTTGTAAGTATGGTAATCTTTAGACAGCTTTTTTTATATATGCGAGTGCATGCATGTGTGTGTGGTCTCCCTTTGACAGTACTGTCAGACAAAATGATGTGTTCAGTGGCTCCCTATACTGGACTCCAGTCTCTAAAAAAGTGAGTAAACTAAAAATGATATTAAAGGCTATATATACCTCTTTCAAGTTTTGCAATAACGTGGTAGAACAGGAGTTGTTCTTCAATTTTACAATGTTTCAGGTTGCTATGAGTGAAGTAGCAGATGGACACTGGACGCATAAACTTTGTTAAGGCCAGGAAAGAATCTCTTCCCTCCAGACTACAAAAGTCCTGCTTCTCAGTCAGAATTCTTCCTCTGCCCTGAATTTCTCGAAGTGTTGCAATACACTTCCTGATACAATGGCTGTATGCAGGACAGACACTTTTTCCTATAAATCTTAAAATTTATGGAAATCTGAAAAGGTATGCTGCTCCCATCAGAACATTACTCTCCCAGTCCCCGCAGTGCACATACGCTCCCTTTCCTGCTCCCATCAACTCTTGAAAATTTGAGTCTTAAACAAAGGTTGCAGGTGTCTTTTGGGTATCGCATCATATCTTGTCTTTTTCCTACTGAATAGCTAAATTAGCTGTGTGTTTGTAGGAATCAATCAAATGCTCCATCTTTCGAGTTTTGCCCAAGGTATTAATGCCCAGAAACTAGAACGGGAAATCAGGCATCTGCAGTATTCACAGGATAAATCTTTTAAGAGAAACACAATAAACGTATTCGCACTGAGATGTTTCCATGTCGCACGGACTTCCCTGTCCGCAGTCTGACAGGTTGTACTTGGTTTCCGTGGTAAGGTTTTGGTGACAGGGGGGCTGCAGGGGTGGCCTCTGTGAGAAGACACCAGGAGCTGCCCCCATGTTAAACAGAGATGGTTCCAGTCCACTCCAAGACGGACCTGCCACTGGCCAAAGCTGGGCCCATGAGTGACGTTGATACTGCCTGTGTGATAGAAAAGGTAAAGAAATGCTCTGCCATAGGTAGGAGAGGGGAGTAAGAAAATGTGAGAGAAACAGCTATGCAGTCACCAAGGTCAGTGAAGAAGGAGGGGAGGAAGTGATCCTGGTGCCAGAGCAGAGGTTCCTTTGCAGCCTGTGGCCAAGATCATGGTGAAGCAGGCTGTCCCCCTGCAGTCCAGTGGAGCAGATGTCCATCCTGCAGCTTGTGAAGGACCCTATGCTGGAGCAGATGGGTGTGCCCTAAAGGAAGCTGCAGCCCATGGAGATCCTGCACTGGAGCAGGCTCCTGACAACCTGCAGCCCATGGAGAGAAGCCCACACGGGAACAGGTTTTCATGCAGGAATTGCTTTCTATGTAGGACCCATGCTGGAGAAATCCATTCCTGAAGAACTACGCCCATGGGAAGGACCCACACTGGAGCAGTTCATGAAGGACTGTGTCCCATAGGAGGACCCCCACACTGGAGCAGGAGAAGAATGTGAGAAGGAAGGAGTGGCAGAGATGAAGTGTTAAGGACTGACTGCAACCCCCATTCTCTATCCCCCTGCACTGCTCAGGGGGAGAGTGTGGAGTGAAGTTGAGCCTGGGAAGAAAGGGATTGGGTCAAAGGGAAGGTCTCGCTATCCTGCTCTGTTGTTAATTCAAAATAAATTAAATTAATCTTGCCCAAGTTCAGTCTGTTTTCCCCGAATGGTAATTGGTGAGTGATCTCCCTGTCCTTATCTTGACTCATAAGCTTTTTGTCTCATTTTCTCCCTCTACTTTGTTGAGGAGGGGGAGTGAGAGAGCGGCTGGGTGGATACCTGGCAGACAGCCAAGGTCAACCCAGCACAGAGGTTAAAATTATAGGTGTGAGATGATGAGGTCTCCGATTTTGACACTTGTTTTTTATTCTTGTAGAAGACTTTCAGAGATCAGAGCCTCTGCAGTCTTACCAAGGGCAATTTAAACTCCAATTAGGAATCGTTATGGATTCAATTAATGCAATAAAACATCGTGAGTTACAGTGGTCTTTGTAGAGAGGCTTATAGTCAGTAGTAAGCTCTAACTCACTGGAAGTCATACAGATTGGAGGACAGATAGGTGACAAAATGTTATACAACCTCCTACTTGCATCCTTACCTTCCCTTCTTTCTTTTTCAGTCTTCACATGTCATGTGAATATGACTTAAGAATATAAATACACTTTTATTGGTTTATCAGTGAATGATGTTTCAGATCTGAATACAATTCTTGCTGTAGATTAAGAATGCAATTAATTCCATTCATTCACTCCTCATAAATGTAGATTGTGGATTTATTTAGTAATGATGTAGTCAGTTCTTGGTGCTGTTTGCTGCCTATGGTGGAGGCCAGCATTATTGTAAATGATGCAGCAAGGGCAGTCAGTGACCCTGAAGAACTGCCAGCTGTTCATTAACAATCTGAAAGTGTGACTTGTGGCACTCTGCTCCACAGCTGTAGTTCAGTGAACTAATAGCTACTACATTAAGTCACTCTAAAAGTTTTAGTTCCTCACAAATAAGTTTAAATGCTACCTCAGCCATGATGGAAGCTGTTGCTGGCCAGAACATTGACCTTTAATATATTTTGTTTGCAAGGAATTCACTCGTTATAAACAGATTTGTGTATTTGTTGTTTCTTTGATTAACTGAAATTTACATGCAGAAATAAAATATTGGGCTTCTAGGGAAAGTTACAGAAAAAAGCGTGATGCCTTGTGCCTGGGGCAATCTGAGCATCTAAATTCTACCTGTGTCGTATTTGACATTTCTAGATCCTTGTGGAAGGGCTATAATCTTTCTGCGCCCAAGTTCTGTCCTTGAAAAGTGGGTTACAGAGTCAAGCTTTTTTTGTGTGTGTGTCATTGACTTCAACATTAAAAGTGTAAGAAAACAAAATGTTACTTGCTGTGTTTTCAGGGACAAGAGTCAGCCTGTAAAATCAGCTTCTCTGCATGACTCACAAAATCTATTTCTGAACAGGGAAGAATTTTCTCTTTCACATTCTTGGATGACTTTTCCTAGTTTGTTCCACTGTGTGCAATGTTTTTCTTTCTGCTTTTATTTCACACAGGGAGATCAGGGTATTCCAGGGGACAAAGGTCCACAAGGTGAAAGAGGGAAACCTGGCCCATCAGGAGAAAAGGGAGATGTGGGTCCTATTGGGCCACCAGGAGACAGAGGCTATCCAGGCTCACCAGGTCATCAGGGTCCCCCGGGTTCACCAGGACCCCCAGGGTTTCCGGTAAAAAAATACAAGTTTTCTTGATTGCTTGTGAATTCAGACGATGTGAAAGTAGCATGTGCTGAGCAGTGGAAATTCAACCAAGCAATACCGCAGTATCAGAAAAACTGAGGTACCTCTGAGATAATTTCAGTGTTCAGTTAAGAAGCGGAAAAAATATACCCAGGTGATCAAGCAGTTATTTTTAATTTATTTTTTTTAAAACACGTGCTATGGATAAGCTTGAATTATTTATTTGTGTATATTTATTATAAAAAAATAATTTTATTATTGACTTGGCTCCTACCAAATCAATATGGCTTCTCAATACTGTTAATATTCAAGTTTTTCTTAAGCTTAACAACTAAAGTGTAAGTCTTTGCAACTGAGAAAGAAAAAAAGGAGGCAGACAAATAACGATTCTCAATAAAAGGAAAATCAGCATTTAAAAAAGACAATGAAATACTGTCTGTCAGTTGTAGACACCTTGGTTTGTCCCCGTGTGCGCACGGGCACACATCCATGTTATGGGTTCTTTTTACTCTTGATCAGGTAGGGTAAAGCTCTAAAAAAAACTTTTTCAGTGAAGTTATTCGTCCTGTGATGAATTGTTAGTTAGTCGGCTGTGCATCAAAGCAGTTAGTCCCAGAGACCCCAGTCTCACCCAGGGGTGAGAAGTTGGCAAACGCTATGCAAAAGGCAAGGAAAGCGTAGCGGTGTCACCGGACGTCCTTTCTGTCTCAGGCAAATTAATTTCCATACACATAACATGCTGATCGTCTTGCCAGTTGGGGCTACCTCTTCTGCTTCATTTTATTAGTGGTCTTTATAATATTACGATATATTTGCAATAAAGTAGCCTTTGCAGTTAATTAAATAGCACAAATATATTAAAATATTGAAGTTTTGGTGGAAGATTTACATTTTTAATGCTAATTTCAGCATTTTTTTTGTTTTTGTAGCATCATAAAGTGCCCTCTGTATGTTTGTTCTGATACATATCACCTTTTTTTTTCCCCTCATCAGGCTGATACAGTTTCACTTGAAGAAATAAAAAAATACATCAAACAAGAGGTTCTTAAGGTTTTTGAAGGTAAGAAAATAAGTATTATACAACTAAACCTAAATCTTAAATTCTTTTCTAAATGTTTTACATGCCTACAGCCTTTATATACATTTCTTTACATGTCATCTAACTTACATTGGACTTAGTAGCTGCCTTGTTGCTGTAGCTGTGTTGACTGTTTAAGGCTACTTAAACATATAATTATGTTCAAACTATTATAAATTACAGTGTCTATTAACCAGAGTATTTTCTTATGTAAAAGATTAGTATTAAAAGGTAGTTTGCTCCAAATCATAATAGCAAACATATGTGTGTATCATTGTAGGTACATTTATGTATCATGTATTATTGCACATACATACCTACCTATCTACAACATATCCTTGTGACATTGAAGATCTATTGACGTGGAGACAACAGAAATATCTGATTATTTTGGCCCCTTAGTGGATGACTATCTAAATGAGAGAAAGGCTTGACAGCTCTCAGTCCTGCAGGTCTAAATTGCTGTGCATTTTCAGCAAAAATCCTCGCTGAGCTCCAAAGCTCCCTTGCAGACTACCAACTTCTGGCACGGTTTTAGGAAAGTACCAGATTCAGCCGAGACCTTTGTACTATGTAAGCTTTCTTAGGTGTGTCCTTACTCTGAAAAGGAAATATTTTTCTTCCCCAGCGTTTTCTTAGTCAGGGTTGAAAAGCTCTGACTCGGGTAGGTGTCTGAAACAAGCTTCTACTCAATCACCTCTTAACAGTACCTTCTCTTCCATTGCAAAATGCATTTCTTATGTCTGCAATGTGCTTAGCTGTTTTGTAATTAATATTTGTGGGTACAAAACCTTTTATCTTTTAGGGATAAAAGAAATAATATAAAGCCTGACACTTTTTAAACTGTTCAAGCAGCTTTTCACTTTATAAAAAGGCTATCATTTTGTGTATTTTCACCTTTCCCCAGACTGCTACCTCTTCGGAGTTCAACCTAGTATGTATTTAAAGAGCAGTTTGTTTGCTGAAGTTACCTTCTTTTCCCATTCAGATGGAATGGTGACAAGTATTTAGTCTATTCATAAAAAGAAAGTATTAAAAGGTGTCCTGCCTACAGGGAATATTGGTTTTTGTCTTCATAGCTATTCTGTTTTCTACAGCTCACTAGTGTTCCCACAGATCTTCTATTTTTGGCTTTGTTTCACTTTGCCTATTTTCTGTCACCTTGCTTGTTTTTTGTTTATGCCCACTCTTCTCTTTACTCCACTTTTTTTCTTAAATCTTAAAACGTCATCACAGTAAATAGCTGCTAAATTGTGAAATGCTTAGTTAATTTTTTTAATCCGATATAAACGAGGCAGATTCGAAGTTCGTTATCTATTTTGTCTACCTCTAAGGCACTCTGAAATGTTACCAAGTGCACTTTATTCCACCAGCATGAACAGTTCATGCTGAAATCTCTGCAATTAATAATGTTTGCTGAGCACTTGCAGGTTTTTTTTCAAAACGGTTTTCAGGATTTCAGCGCATTCCAAGAACTATTCATGGTATTTAAGCTCTACTTTGCAACTTAATATGAGTTACAAACATATAAGGTAGCCCTTCACAGGAGTGTTAAGTACTGATTATTCTGTGTTCATGTATTTTAAGTGCTTCCATGAACAGGAGTCGGAAGTCATTTGAAATATTGGATTACATTAGTAGAAGAGAGTAGTCAGATTATTTCGAAGGGTAAAGACTCAGACATGAGTCTGAGTTGGAACTGAAGGCCTCAGTACTTATAGGAGAATTTAATACCTTGACATTTAGAAGGATTAAGCATCTTACTTCCAGAAAGTTACTTTAGCTGGGCTTTGGGATTATTGATTTTCCTATGTTTTGTTAGCATATTTTCAACCCAATTTTCTTGTGTCCTTTGTTAATGAAGAAAGGATGGCTCAGTTTGTATCCCAGCTGAAGCTGCCTGCTGCCATGCTTGCATCCCAAGCTCACGGAAAACCAGGGCCCCCAGGAAAAGATGGGTTACCAGGGCCACCAGGAAAGGATGGTCTGCCAGGGCCACCAGGAGAACGTGGAATTCAAGGTAGGAATTTAAAAAAACGTTCCCATGAATTGTATCTTGAAATCTTTATACACTTGCTAATGATTATTAAATAAGCCAGGATTACCTATCAACCTTCCTAATGATTAACTTTTAAAACTGTACTTATGTTTTTCCAGACTAGATCTAAATATTAACCCATAGTAAATGTGTGGATTTTACTGATTAAAAACTCCTAATCAGTGCATTTTATTCTACTAAGTGATAAAGTTAATTACTGACAGATATCTAAAGCTGACAGGTATCTAGACTACTGTAGCAGGGTTTTTTTCTTCAAAATACTTTAACAAGGAAGAAAAACTGTGCCAACACTCTAGTGTAACTATTTAGATCCTGTTCCATATTGAAGGACAATCTTATTTAAGAAACAAAATTTGATCTCCGAGTCTGAATGCTCTCAGCTCTGATCCTGAGACAACACAGGGGAGGGAAAACTGAAGGCAAATATTGTTTTTTATGAAGCAGTGAAAACTGAAATATTACCACATGAAATCTTCTTACAGTGAAGTAGTCTATTTTCACAAGTCAGTTTCAGAGTAATCAGCTTTTCACTAAACCCCAAATAGTAATTTGTACATTGCAATGCATTTGGGCAGTATAGGACTCTTGTTTCACTGAACTGTCTTTCACTGCAAAATTAGCTTCAAATGATCCAGGCTCATTGTACCTGTGCTCTACAGAGCCTCTGAGATTGAAAGGAAGAGGAGAACAGAATAGAAAGAAAAAAGAATTTATCGATGAATAATATTTTGTGGGTGGGTAATATGTAATTTGCAGTTTATCTGTAGGTAGTTCTTTATTATCTTTTGTTAGTTTGGACTGCTCTGGAGTCAGAGCAAGTCAGACTGGAATGAAGAACATGAGAGCAAAACTGAAGATGTGTGGATCCTAAAGCTATCAGAAGAATAAAGACTTACTAACATTGATAAGCGCAAACCCCTGACAGAAGCTTGAAAAATGGGATGAGCTCAGAATGAGAAGAACAAGAATAAAGGATCAAGGAAAACAATAAAAGGCTTAGAATCTTACAACACTGAGTTCATCATTACCTAAACATTCAGATCACTGTAAACAGTCAACTTCAATGTCAGTGCCAGATTGTTCGATGATGATGTGTGTGGTGGATAGTCTCAGATGCTTCTGGAAAGTGGGACGTTGTACGAGGGTTTATTTCCAGCCACTGAGCATCAAGAGTAAAGATGATAGCTATGCTTGGAAAAAAAAAAAAAAAAAGCTGCTTTTTCATGCCTTATGCTTAAGCAAAAGTAGTGCCCCTTGTACGCAGGCTTTCCATTTATTTTACTGATACGCTCAATATCAATACTCTTTTTTGATTAGTAAAAGGTAAGCTAAGTGAGAAGGATTTACTTCTCTGATACATCAAAAGACATATGAAATTACACTTGAAGGAAAGAAAAACAAAAATTTGTCTTGCCTCCCTTTTACACTCTGAGTAAGAGAGAGTCCTGTGAGAGAAGCACACTTACAAATACCCTTTGTGCCTTTCCCAGTTGTGCCTGTGCATGTTATTGTTCTGTGCCAACAGTAAACAGAAAGTCAAATCTCTGACCAGACTGAGAAGGATCCTTCCATATTCCAGTTTACATTCAGCCACAAAAGACATAGCAGACAAGACGACTTGGAGAAGCAAGTTATGTGCACGTGTGGCTGAGACCATCAAGGTAGCATGCTGTGTGCACATACGTCCAAGTCGTAATACGCATTTGGTATTGACTGACAGATATTCCTGATTGTATTTCTCACTTGGATGTAGCCCACATTGCCAATTCCAGGGTTTTGCTGCGTGCAGTAATACACGTCTGGGCTGGCAGATTGAAACAACCACTTGTCCTATACAGTCAGTGAAAAGAAGTAGATACTTTTGGAGAGCAATTAACAGGACCTCTACGAACACCTCCAGAGCCTGTGATGCTGCATGCTGAGCAGAGAACTTGCTGGAGGCAGCCAGCAGGAAGGGCAGATGTCACTGTGTGTCTGAGGAGGTGCTTAACTGAACTTGCAGCTTCTCAGGGGTCCCTCCAATACTCCTTGAGTGTGGTGCTGGTTCCACCAGGAACTGACCTGGTATGAGCTGGCCAGATTCCACCAGAGCCTCTTCCTGCACAGCAAACCAATAGGTAGGAGTTAGTCTCAAAAGCAGAAAAAACAGATAATAGATTTTGGAAATGTAGGCATGATCTTCAAAAAGTGTATTTAAGGAATTGCTGGACTCTTGGACATACAGTCACTCCTTAATGAAGTCCAGAATTGTTACCTGCTGGCCTTCAGAAAAATTGTTCATAGTGTAACTCAGGTAGTTCCCTGCAGTTCAGGTGCAAATAGTTTTGATTTTATAGGATGGTCTCAATAAAAATATAGCATGCAAACAAAAAAACAAATAATTGCATCTTAAATTATGAAACATACAATTGGTATTTAAACAGACTTATATATAATAATATATATATATATATAATAGCGATTGGAAGATTTAGATATGTATTTTTTCCTTCATTTTCAAATAGTAACCTACAGCACGTGCATCAGCAATCTGATACTGTGAGGCAGTGTAACCAGTGAAGTGTACAGCATCTGCTTAAGGGGGAGCAGGGGAGCTTGTTTCCTCTGTGTGTCTTTTAAAGGATGTTAATGTCTCGTAGAGAAACAGCAAGTTTATTTCAAGACTTTATAGACAAGTGATAGTGATGTCATCCATTTGCAAACAGTCAATCAGCTTGTCATGTGTTAGAGGATCCAGATCAATTAACTCCACTGACTTAATCGGACTTTTAAAACTACAGTAGTGAGTTTTGGTCCATTAAACCAAATGCACCTTGGGATAATTATGCAATCCAGAGATCATTTATGTTAATATGACTATTGTTTTTTTCTCAGTAAAGAAAATAATATCTCATCTTAGTTAAATTTCACTGTTCCTATCAAATTAAGGAAACACGAGTTTTTTATAGATCCTCACAACTCATAGTAGCCTCCAGGAATCAAACATCACAGCTCAGGAAAGAAAAATACCATGTGATGACCAGTGAAAGTTCCTTATCTCTATTGCTAATCTCTATTGTGAAATTTGTGTCTCTTATTTTAATTATTAATTTGTATGGTGGGAGCGTGTAGAAACCTTGGCTGACATCAGGAACCTGTTGTAGTGGATATTGTCCAGACACAGTCACTCTTCTGAAATAGCTGCACTGATTTCAAGCGTCACCTCCTGTAAACTGTTCTTTGCTGTGGAGGGTGAAGTGAACCTGTCTTACTTTGATTTGAAACTCAGTTGTAGCCCTCTCAGCTGAGAGGTAGCAACACACAGAAGGAATTCAGAATCCGCACTGGAGACTGGATGAGGTGGCTTGCTCTTAGCACCCTTCCTGTTGCTTCGCAGTTGTTTGTTTTTAAGAACGCAGAGTATTTGCGCAGTAAATCACAGAGGATACTTCGGTCTCATCGTTCCCTGTCGTGGTAATGTGTTTGCCTCACGTATGTATTAAAGAATCGCCAACTTCTCTGGATATTGACATGTTAGTTTCAGGTGCTGCATTATCCATGTGCATGGCAGAGGGTCTCCATGACAGAGGTGGAAAACCGTTTGGAGCTGTTTAAATGAGAGAAATTTTTACCGAGTTCATAGAGATGGACTTGTGTCATTTCCAAGTAGAGCTGAGGGTGTTGCAGTAGCGATGCTTCTGACCACGATGCCTGTGCAGAACGCCAAGCCAGGAGCTCTATTTTAGCTATCAATCACCTCTCATCTATGAGGAGAAGAATGCTTATCCATTTGAACACGTGCTTGCTACATACTGCTACCAAGTGTTTACTGTACTACGCACATCGTGGTACGTAAACACACGTATGTGTTTACGTACCACAACTCTTGGGTTGCAGAAATCACAACAAAACTCCTGGAACCTGAGTGAAAGGCTTTGCTAAAGCAGTCACCTTTGGAATTAAGCAGGTACCTCTTACTGGAATTGTAATCGTAACAGGGAAAATAGACAGCATCTTATATGTGCCTTTACGTTAAAAACAATAAATTGAAATCTGATTTAAGTGTATGGTAACATTTTCCTTTGACCGTGTGTGAGCTTGTCACTTTAAGCTCAGAGAGAAGGTGAGATTATCCTCTAGCAATGTAAACACAGCCCTACTCCTGAGCAAAAGATACCTCATTAAAAATCAAGTATTTTTCTGCCAGAATTACGCATTATGTTGTTCAGATTGTTTACATATAGACCTGTTTACTACTATACTTGCACCCTGTTAAATACAGCCTCGTTTTTAGAAAAGATACCTGGGAATTTTTATATTAAACTTCAGTGTCACCAGAACTTACCTGCCACTGCGTACAAACTACACCTCTGCATGTGGATTCAGATACAGCCAGAAATGGTTTACGCTACCTTGGATCATATATTTGCATTGGCAGGCTGCTCTTTGTCTTATTGTGGGTTTTTTTTTCCTTATTGTTTTTAATTCCAGTGATGTTTACAGAATCTTTCAGTCTGTCTCAGTCCCTTTTCAACTATGATGTCTCAGACACCTGTGGTAATGGTTATCATGGAGCTTGTAAATGTGATATATTGTAACTGTGATTTCTCTCTTTTCTCCATAACTAAAGAAATGCAAAACAAATTATTAGTGGCAGCACTACTTTGTAAAATTACAATTAACTGGGTTTGTAGTGAGAAATGTACTGTATCTATTGTAAATTAAAAAACATAGAGAGATAAATAATAAATAGGAAATGTTGTAGATTCTGTGGTTGTGTGATAAAGCTTCTCAAACGGTAGCAACTACTGTGCATTACACAAGATTTTCCAGAGCCAACCAACTTGATGTAGTTGCAAATAATACTATGGTCATTAAAGAGCAAAATCAAGATTCACAGTTGGATACAAACACCTGCATGTTCCCTTTCCTGAGTCTTTATAGCTTGTATGCTTATATGCCTTGTACAATTCTGCTTAACACAACTCAGTGACCAGAATGCATGATTAATATTAAGTTTGTTTCTCTGTGAGCTTTTAAACAGTTCATTTCCTTTCGTTATGTTATGCATGTCACTCTGCATGCGTTTTCTAATGTTTTTGCCTCACTGTAATTTCCTTATGGGGGTGCTGAGAGAAGAGTAAGATAATTAATGCTCTGTTTTGAAACCTAGAACGATTGCAACAGATAATAGACTTTTTACCGAAGTGCATAATGAGCTTGTGTGTAACAGAAAACTTGAATACTCTGTGTACCGTTCCTACGGCGTTGTGCCTGTCGTAACAGCCCTGAATTGGTACCCACAGCACTTACGAAGGTTTCCTTCTGGATTTTCCTGTAAAGTACCAGAGTTGTCATAGACTGCAGTACACTGACAAGACAACCTTTGCCGTCCATCTGCCAGTGGCCATTAATCCTCATGAGACATCAGGTGGATTGATACCACTATTCTGACTCGTCAGACGAGACTCTTCTCTTTTAATTCAAATTAAGTTACAGCTCTTCACAAGAGGATGTTTATTTTATGGCGTACACAACACTGGAATTATACTGGTCCCTGAAGTAGAACAAATTTCATTCCAAACATGACCAGAAATTGGCAAATTAATCTTCAACATCTATCACCTTAAATGCCAATGTCTGAGGTGTTGGGGAGGGAAGACGGTTTCCTCATAATCCCTTCAAGTAAGGGATTGTGGCAGGTGTCACTCTTGTTCCTTTGAAAACACCTTCATCCCCTGTCCTACCTAAATTACATGGTGTGAACAGAAAAGGTACATTTGTAGATGGATTCTCAAGTTGAAATATTAAGCAAAATGTTGTACCAATAGCCACAAGTCCTCTGCTCCAAAGCAGCCAGAGTGTTTCCGGCTAATAAAACATTTTACAAACATGTTAAGGAAAGAGAAGTAGGTGGTGTACTTAAGTTGCAGCACCTGAGAAGATGGAAGCTATTTAGATAAATACAAAGCTACGGCCTGTGAAGAAAATGGCCACAGATATTCCAAGTACAATCACTAATCACACCTTGTTAACAATATACAGCCACATGGGTCAAAGTTGACCTGGCATGCTAGAACCTGAAGTCTGCACAAGCCTTAAAGATGCCTCATTCCACGTGAGGGCAGCTCTGTAATGCTGGAGAGGGAGTGGGTCTTCTCACATGCAGAGGAATATCTAGGCATACAACTACCAGTTTACAGTCTAAAACGTGTAGACATAAAGATTTATGTAGAGCCAAGAAGGCGAAGTCTCACTCAGTTTGGGAGCTATCAGAGAAGGGCTGGTCAGACTCCAGATGGCCTTTTGGGCTGGTGCTTTACATCACTTCATCGACCAGGTAACACTGGAGCAGAATACGCATCTGGCTCTTTATCAGAGGAACTTCAGGAAGGTAACTTAAAATCTTGGGGAGAGGTCCGGCTAGTGAACAGAGTCCTCAGGGAGAGGATGTAATGATTACTACTAGAAATGCTCATGTTTTCCAGAAGGAACTTGTAAGAGCTGTCTCAGAAAAAAAATACCAGTCTCAGAAAGAGAAGTGGACATGTGTTTTCCCAATTGCATTTGTCTTGATAACTTCCTGACAACAAGCTATATGGAAGATCACTGTTTGTAATAAGAGACGCTCTTATTTTCGTATCTTTATTCTGTGTAGGTTATAGAGGACAGAAAGGGGAAAGAGGCGAGCCTGGAATTGGACTGCCCGGTAACCCTGGACCGCCCGGCCCTGCAGGTACAAATCTCCAGATTTATTTCTGCTGTTGTTGTTTATGAACTCACAGGCCTTTCTCCTGGTTTTCACGCCAGTTTTACACCTGTGCCTTTCCTCCCGAGCCGGGTGGTGGCATGAGGTCAGACCCACGTGCCTTCTCACGGATGAGCTGGCATGCAGCTGACTGCCAGTGAAGAAGCGCGGGCACTGCGTGCACTCTGGCAAGGACTCTGCTAATTCTAGCTTTGTTTTACCAGCTACTGGCCCGCCGGGTCCACCGGGAATGCCAGGCTCACCTGGACCGCAGGGGCCACCTGGACCCAACGGAAGATGCAATCCGGCCGACTGCGATTACCACATATCACAGACTCGGTCACGCACCAGCGGGAAATAAAAGCCCTCTGCTGTAGACACTTGGGTTCACAGTCACTTTTCACTCCTCTCAATAAGTTAATTTAATCTTTGAAATACTTGGTGCATTTTTTTTTCCCCTCGACACTGTATGGTATACAGATAATTTATAAGGCACAGAATTGAGCCTTTTTCTGTGTTATTTGCAGTGTCGTAATTGTGAAATGATGACGTATATTTTCCAGAGTGCATTCCATGTGTTATGTTTCTGATATTTATTTTGCTTAGAGGAGAAAATAGGCCCAAATAATTTTCATAAGCTTCTTTCTTTAAACAAAAAATGTTTTATTATAACTTGAGACAGTATGTATGCCTCAGTATGTAAGATGACTTTATTTTTCTTGCTGGTGGTGAAGTTGAAGTGGAGAAGATGGGTTCTGAAGTTTTAAAGCGTAGCTGTTCATGGTGAATGCAGGGCCTGAGCTGCAGCGCTGGGAACTTTGTTTAGACTAAACCTTCACGTCCCTCGAGGAGGCTCCAGCACACCTTCTGAACCGAGTCTGTGTTGTGCACCACGAACACTGCCCACCGTTCCAGTCACTTCCTAGATGTTGAAGAAGGAATCGAAGGTGTGGTTATGATCTCCCTAACCCCATCCAACATTTAACTTCAGACTGACTGGGAGTTTGCCAGGTGTAGCCCTGAGAAGCATCTCTCCTGGCTGGATGTTGTCCCAGCAGAGGACTTTTATGTTTGTTTAGTCATGATTATGTATACTCCAGATATTAAACCATTAGGGGCTGGTGGTGATGATCCTAGCTGAGAACTGGCACATCTTCTAACCTTTATGTGAACTTAGTAAGTGTGGTACCACTGCCTGTAACCAAGCTACTCGGCCGTTATGTCTGCTTACAGCAAAGACGACCTCTTGCTTTAGAGCAGAGGTGGTGGTACACAGAGATACAGTCAAAGAAGGAACCTCGCAAGCCTCGAATCTTATGGATTGCATGGTTTTCCTCTTCCTCCTGCCATAATGGTGTGACAAAATAAACTTGAGAAGAACATGGAAACAGCAGAATGCAAAACTCACAGGTCCTAATAACTGGTTGCAAAAAATTGAGCTCAAGAGAAATTCAGAAAAATTACAAAAGCCTCTTTGGAAAGGTTTACTACAAAGAGTACAACTGCATGCAGTTTGCAGGCATTGGGCAAATCCTACAGGACCAGACATTGCCAATAAAGAACAAAACACAACCGTGTGTAAATCCTGTAGAGCTCAAACGGTTGAGCAGAAGAAAAGATGGAGAAAATCAATCATACAGAGGCTGATTGTGAAAAGAAGGGGAAGAGAGTTGGCTGGAGTTTTACTCCTGATCATTAGGAAACAGATGATCCTAGATTAGTCCTGAGGAATTTGCTACAGTGCAATAGAAAGTGGAGAACATGAACAGCTGTAACCCCCAACCTCAAAATAAATCTGTAGTACAAAAGCAGCAGTGAGGGCTCTTGCCCCACCATTAGGAAGCCAGTAGTTCCCTCCCACGTCTGGGAGGGAAGCGGTTTTGGTGATCCCCGTGCTGGAGCAGTACTGAGACGCCACGGAAGCATTCCCAAGTTGGAAGTGCTGGACTCCAGAGAAGCTATTGTGAGACATTCATCTGGCTGACTTCTGGTTTTTCCTTAAAAACAGTGAGGAATGAATGGTAGAAGTCTTTAAAAACCAAAACAAAACAAAACACAACACATTGGCATTTGTTCTCAATGGAGTTCCTGGCACTTGTACCCGGACCGTAGCAAGAGGTAGCAGAG